ACTTTCGCAGAGATCATCAACAAGGCGAGAGAGATCATCAAGACCAACAGGGCGGCCGCACACGAAAAGTCAACGTGGCAGCCAACCTATGTGGAGAAGGTGAGAACTGGTCCGCGACAGCAGCAGTTCGCTGCAGTCCAATCGAACAGTGGAGAAGACCCAGCAGCCACTCCAGCATCACGTGAGGGAGATCAGGTGGCTGCTGTCCAGCCACGAAGCAACAAGCCCCGAGTGAACGGGAAGGCGAAACCAACATCGCAGGCCAGAAACGGACAGCCAGCACCACCATGGGTCAAGTTCGGCTTGACCTAGGCCGAGTACAAGTACCGCAACCGTTACGGCTGCTGTTACTGGTGCAACAGCACCAAGCACAAAACCTCCATTTGCCAAGATCAGGCCAAGGAGGATGTGCGGCCTCGTCTTAACTCGGGAAACTGAGTTGCGCAGGAGGTGAGGCGACTCCACCTCTCACTCCGCCAGATTCGGCCGCCTTGCTAGCGGCCTCCTACACATCTGGGGAGGATGCGCATGTCGCAAGTCCTCGGTACAATTACGAGGATTATGCTGTCCACTTGGTCCCACCGCTGGACCAATCGCTCCACGTGCAACAATCTACCGCATGCACGGTTTCATCACCATCGGCAACCGATTCGGCAGCTTCGCCGCTATCTATCGTCGGGGATTCATAGTCGTGGTCAAGACTTGAGGTGCTCGACCCACTAACGTTCACGGACTTTCAGTGGATGCCCGTTCCCTAGACCGGACGGTTGCCGAAACCGCATTGSAATGTGCTCATGGCACAACTGCGAGATTACTTGCACACTGCAGTACCAGCTCCATTGATGGACGCCGGAGTAGAGGTTGTCGACCTTCACGCTTACATTGCGAAGATCGACCGCGAGTTCAAGACGCAACGGTACGACGACATCGACGCACCATTGCTATATGTATGCATTCAGATCGGAGAGGCGACCTGCAACGCCTTGATCGATTGCGGAGCATCTTGCAACTACATCAACCAGGACTTCATGGTGCGCGCCGGCCTTGGCCCACGTGTCCGGAGGAAGTCCCAGCCTACGCAAGTCAATTTGGCAGACGGTCATACGCACAAGTCCATCGACCGGTGCATTGACGCCGTCCCCGTGTACTTTGCCCCTCACGCAAGTGAGGGGGTGTCCTTTGATATTCTGGACACCAAATTTGACATGATCTTGGGCATGTCATGGCTGCGAAGCGAGGATCACCCGGTGAACTTCTTCCACCGCACCGTTCACATTCGTGATCGGAACGGAGTATTGGTTCCATGCACGGTACCTCTTCCTCATCCTTCGATCAACTGCCACGTGGTATCCGCCGCAAGCATGCGAGCATCCGTCATCAGAGACGATATCGAGGAGATGGGGGTGTGTTTTCTCCACGCTTCATCGACGGACTCATCTTCGGATCCACGCATCACCGAACTTCTTGACGCCTACAGCGACGTGTTCGAAGGCCCGCACGGAGTAGTACCGGATCGGCCCATCTGCCACGAGATCATCCTCGAGGACGGGGCCGTACATCCGCACGGCTGCATCTACCGAATGAGCGAGGAAGAGTTAAGTGTGCTCCGTGCACAACTC